GAGAGGAATTACTTTCCTGTAAGTGGTGTCTGTATATTTTTGAGTTAATGTTGGTGTAAATATGTATCAGATTTAATTGGTTGTAGCACTCTGCTGATTTTATACCAGCAATTATAAAGGAAATTGTAATGTAACATAAAACTATTTGTCAATCTAAGTTGAACATAGTTGAACTCCTTAAGATTTACCTTTTAAGCTATATGGCTGAAAGTATGCCATGTTTGGAAAGTGTAATGTCTGATAACAACCCACAAGATTTAAGCTGTCATTTCCAATCATAATCAGTTATTTTTTCTGTTTCATTATTGTTGGGATACTTGTAAGATGCCCATTTCTATTGGATTTGTTATTGTTTACTAGCAGTTAGCTTGTAGCAAGTGGTAGCCTAGATCATAATAAATGTAAGTTGTGACTGTGATTGTTGTTCTTATTTGTTTTTTGTGTATCTAAACAACAAAATGGGCTTAAGTATATTTGTTTTGTTTGTTAATCTAAGATGTGTTAAACTGTTGTGGCTTTGTATAGAGCTAATGCTGCAATTTTGGTTAAAAGTAGCGTTTAGCATACTTTAGACAGAAAATCTATCATTAGGAGTTCTGTTCTGAACTGAGAAAAATTAAAGTTTTTAAGTAGAAAGGAGACCAGTAAGAAGGATCCCTAGGCTCTCTGGTCACTTGAACAATACAATGCAGTAAGATTTAACTTGAGTACATGAAACTAGTGGTTAAATCACATCCTTCTCATGCTTTAATATCTGTTACAGAGAGCCCTGCATCTGCTCAGACCACATGCTTATTTAATGTTTTTCCACTTAGCCGATAGGCACTGATAACACAAGCTAAAGTGGGAAAGGAATCATCTCCAAAGGTTTGTAAAGAAAGAGGTTAAGTGAGGTCTGATCTGATAAAAACCGTTTTAAAGGTTGACAAGAATAAAACTACAATCTGATGGCATGTGGGTATGACCATGTAAGGTTTTGTTTGTTTGTTTGTTTGTTTCCTAAAACCTTCCTTCCAATTGATTGTGATCTTTTGAAGGTCTGGACAGGACAACAGAAAAGAACATGTGTTGGTTTCATTGTGGCTGGTAGCTGCTGGGCATAGCTGTTCTCGCTCTGTGTATGGTTGTCATAAAGATAACAAACACACACAGTGTTTTCCATACCCCTCCAGCTGTGTTTCCCAGCTTCCCTGTTCACATATATTCTGCGTGGGTGATTTATCTGCATGAGCGTCACGTTCCTCGTTTCCTTCCTAGGTTTTCCTTGTTGCTCTCATGATAACCTGATTCTTAGCTCTTAGCTTAGTTCCTCCAATCACCACTTGAGGCTGACTCCAACAGAGAGTCCATCCCAAAGAATCCATGTTAAAATAAACTAAGCATTTATGGTTTTGGCCTAGATAGCTAATCTGCCCCTTCATACTAACCTTACCAGCGGGTGATTTCTTTGTTATTATAACTTACTTTTTAAAATTGTATTAAGGTTTAAACTTTGCATTGTTATCCGCATGGTCTCAGTGAATGAAAGCAGGATATAAGACAACATCTAGTCTACTATATGTTTAAGTTTGGACCAAACCGGTAAAAATCCCCTTTCTTCTACTGTATTGAAATGTAACTACACAATTAATCAACGAATTAACTTAATGTAAGAAAAAGAAGCGTAATTGCAACAATATGTCTCGGTTTTTCTACATGACAATGAAATGCAGCTGTAGTAAATGAAAGAAAGTGAAAGTGTTTAAAATTACAAAACCATCATTTTGGTGTCATTTGAGGCTGCGGCTATGGGGCAGGTCTTTATTGGTAAGAAAAGTTGTAAATCTGTTAAAAGAAAAAAAAATACAATTAAAAGTTCAAAATTTATGTCCTCCTTCACATTTTTCAAAGTCGTCCAACAGGCTAGATTGGAGTGTTTGCCAGGCCACTACTGGCCCCCAAGTCTAATGTTTCACACCGCTGGTGTAAGGGCTCACTGTTAAGCATGTCTGTATTTTCTCCAATATGTTTAAATTGACATGGTAGTAACACCATAAATTTAATGTTTTGAGTCAGTTTTTAAAATTAATTTTGTGTTAGTTTTGGTTTTATGGCAACCAGTGTTGGGACTAACGCGTTATTAAGTAACGCGTTACAGTAACTACGTTATTATTG